CCATGGAGCTGATAGAAGATATGGGAGAGGCAACGAATCGGAGGACCACCATCTTGGGCTATGAGAGCCGTATGCATCTTCGATCATTGGCCGCGCTTGTGGCGGTGGGAATGGCATGCCGAATCGTAGCTCTGAGATTGCCGTCCCTCGCAGTTCCGAAGCCGCTGATTGAGGAACTAGACAGCGTAGGATCGCTTTTTGAGACGGCATCGTCGGTCCACGAGGCAGGGAAATGTGTGTATGATAGCGCATCCCAGCTGAAGCGCTGTGGGCTGGGCTTGGATGCGGCTGTTCTCAAGGAGGTGCGACGGCCGTGTCGGACAGCAACTCGGCACGCATGCCCTGTGACGTCGCTTCCCGAAGTGAGATCATCCCTGTCAAATGGGACATGGTGCGACGGAAGGTGCACACTGCCGTGCAAGCGGGACACGCGCCTTCGCTTTGAGAGCTCGAGTTGCGAATCGTCATCGCGAGTGGGGCCCCCGAGAGCGTCAGTGTTTCGGGACACAACCCTGGCGTTCGTCGGCGATTCGACGTTTCGGGACGTCGCGCAGTCCGGTCGCGGAGCCGGGGACAGATGTGTTTTCAGCAAATTTGATGGGGATTTCTTCAGACCGGCTACTGGGAGTCGAGTACGAAGGTGCTATTAGTCCCATTTGGGCGTAGGTCCGTCCTACAAGATGTTTTTGAGATGGATCGTGGCAAGGTTGCTGCAGATTACCTCGAGCATCGCCATGGTGTCGTCGCTCACGCAGTGAACGAGACGTTTCGCATCGTGTTCGTGTATCCACCGGGCATCCAGGACGACACGCCACCACTCCCAGCGTACGAGGCGTCGCCAACGTCATTAGTTTCCACAGAGAGCTTCCGCGAAGCGAGGCCTCGCAGTTCTTCGGACGGTCAGTTCGCAGCCGGTTGGTTTGCGGCACTCCGGCATGCGCGCGCACTGCACGCCGGCTATGAGATTGAGGCTCTCGAGCGCGGGTCTCTTCGTGGCCTCAAGCTTGTGGTACTACTCGGTGGCATCTTCATGAATGCGTCCGTTGTCGACGCGGCTCGTGCGTGGCTTGCGACCACCGCAGATGCGGGCGAAGCCGCGTTGCCTGCAGTCGTCGTGCGGTCCAATGGCCCGTCCAACATGAGACATGCGAGCGACATCAACAATATCAAACTTGCAGCGGCCGCACGCGCGTGGGCGAGGTCATCTCCTGCCCCCGTGCTCTTCTGGGACGTCTTTGCCATGCTGTTCAAGGTTTGGCCGTTTATGCTCGCTGGTGAGCCGGAGGGCCTCCGCCGCGTTGGTGCGGAAGTCCTCCCTGGTGCCATCGCAACAGCTCCCCCTGGCGAGGGCGCATGCTCTTGCCACTGGGCGCACAAGGACCTGTCCGGCATCGTCGGTCCTGTCAACGCTGAGCTTGCACGGCAGGCGATCAAGTGGGCCGAAAAAGCAAGGAAGGCAGCCTCCGATGCTTGACTAGGACAGGAATATCACGCCTGTGGGATACGGCACCTGTTCCCTACGAGAACGACAACCCCGAATCTCGCTCGTTATTTAGTTGCAGGGTGCTGGGTCCAGCCATCAGGCCGCCGGCCACCACCGCCGGCGAGAATATTGTGCACTGTTATTGCCGGTGGGTTGATAATAGGGGGGGTCATTGAACCCGGGCGCTCTCCGGGCCCCGCCCCGCCTCCGCTGGCGCCTGGTTTTGGGAGGCGTCGCTGGAGCGACTTTCGGGATGTTGGGGGACGCGAAACTTAGGGGAGCTGCGTGAGGCGTCGCCCCACGGCGCATGCGTCGCTTTAGGGCCCACCAAAAACTCGCCCCGGCCGGAATGGGTCACAGTGCCCTGCACTTGACGGACCAGTTGGCAGTGCAGTTGGCTTGTATCTCTAGTATGTCCCTATTTTATTTACAGCGAGCGGCGGTGGATACATATCCAGTTTTAGTAATTTTGCTCCTCTTTTCTTTCTTACTCACTTAGCCTACTCAAGCGGTTGAAGGTGGAGAGCCTTTGATCCCAGTACAGTAGCCCGGGGGCTAGAGTAGATAGTCTAGCTAAGTACTACCATACCCTAGTCTTAGAGTCCGGGCTGAGGGTAAAGTACCTCCGGTTCTATACTGCTATGCGCCTGCTATGCGCCTGCTATGCTGGTGTATGCCCGGGCTGGTGTATGCCTGGTGGTCGGCCCCCTCTGGATGTCCGTGCCCTTCTTTTAATTTATTTGTTAGTATCTGCTTTGGATATGCAGAGACGGTAGTGATCGAGGAGGTGGCTCTTCGGCGGCCGCGTCGGGGGTTGCCACACTGAGGGGGGCGCCCGAGAGCGTCGTGTCAGAATCCCGAGCACCTGGATGGAGCGCGAGGAGCCTTCGCCGATCCTCGCAGCCGAGCGAGCGCAGGAGGCCGGGGGCCTATGGACAACGCAAAAGTACGGGGACTTCGCCCAAGGGGACAAGCGGTTGGCCTCCGCCTTCGTGACCGGACGCGTTGAAATGCGTCAGCTACGCGGCTTGTTTAAACTGACGTTTAGTGATCTGGCCGTCGTACGGCGGAGGACGGAGGATGACGGGTCGAAAAAGCCACTGCGCGCAGGCGTGTTCCTGACGCGGAAGAAGACGAAGAAGCGCATGGCGGACCTGGAGGAGACGGGATATAGCGTGCCTGTGGGTGGAGACGTCGACGAGGATGGGTACGTGTGCGTCGGAGAGCGGAGCCTAGGGGCATTTGACTTGACTTTGCGGGATGCGCCTGAGGACCCGCTCGTCTACCGAGGCCTATGCATCGCCAAGCGAGCGGGAGACGCGCCGCTTACGGAAGAGCCGGCTGTCTACGGATATGTGCGCTTCATCGACGATCGACCAGAGATGCCGACGACAGAGCACGCGCTAGGCCTCTTGGAAAATCAGGACTTGATGGAAAAGATGATCACCAAGCAAAAGGGCAAGACTAGCAAATATAAGCCAATGCAGAGCTACACGCGCACGGCACGGCGGGCATGGGAGGAGCTGGAGCTTGTCGAGGAGCAGCAGATCGGCTTCGAGGAGTTCAAGCGCGCGCTGGACCTCCTTGACATGACGCTCCTCGAGCCGCGGGCGATGCGACTCTTCGACGCGGCGAGCGTCCGGCGCCCCGAAGCCGTCGAAGTCGTCCATGGAGCAACCTTCATGAAAACCCCCCGGGGACTGTTTTGATCGCATTATTCGTCGATACCGCTTGCTTGTTCAAGTGCTCGGAGATTTGCACTGTTCACTGCTTCTTGAGCCGCGTACCTTAAGCAGTCATCTCCCGCGCAGGCTGACCTGGACAAGAGCGGACGCATCGGCATCACCGAATTTGAAGTGGCGCTGATGATGAATGACGGCGCGCCGGACCCGGGCTTGACACCCCAGGACGCGTTCCGCATGTTCGACCTCGAGGGCGCAGGGAAGATATCGAAAACAGCTTTCCCACGCGTTGTTGGTGCGCTCGGCGCTGGCAAGAATCTCCCGGGCAAGACCGACGACAGCGAGGAGCGCCGCGCTGCCGTAGACGCGCTCTTTGGCAAGATCGACAAAGACAAAAGCGGCGAGATCTCCTACGATGAGTTCCGAAGCGCGTGGGTCCGTCTCGTGGACGTCGAAGGGGAGCTCAAGAAGCGGTCACGCAAGCCTCGAAATGTGCCACGGGCTCTCCGGGTGCTCAAGTTCCTCAAGCGCCCGTTGGATATGATAAACCGTGCGACGCTTCTCTCCTTATGCGCCGATGAGGAGGCCGAGGAGAAGCGTGCCTTCCAGCGCGTCCGCGACCACGCGCTGATGCTGCGTCCGATGGAGTTGCGGGCTGCGGGGAGGGGGTTTGATCATAGTTCCAACACGTAGGTGGACCGACTGCGTGTCGAGGCGCGAACGCGGCGCGACGAGCGGCGCCGGGCGCGCCAAGCCGAGCGCGAGCGCCTTGCGCTGGCGGCGGCCAAGGACAGCGCACTCCGGAACAAGGATCGCGCGGCACGGCTCATGCGAGAACAGAAGCTGCGGAATAAGCAGCGTGTCGAGGAAAAACTAATGAAGAATCGCCTCGAGGCGGAACAGGCGGCGGCGAAGCGGCGCCAGGATGCGGCGCTGAAGGCGGAGCGGACAAAGCGCGAAGTCGACCGTGTCGCAGCGATTCGTGCGCGCGGCGCAGACCGCCTCGACGCGAGCCGACAAGCGTACCGGGTCTTGCCACCCAAGCTTTACGTGGGTCACGAGGCTCAAGAAGCGCTCGCAGACCTCGTCGTCATCGACGTTGGCGACAACAAGCTCGAGAAGCTGCCGAGCGGCTTTCTCATGTGGTTTGCGAGCCTGCGCTACTTGCGCCTGGCGGGGAACCGCCTCACGTCCCTCCCGAAAGACGAACTTGGTAAGATGGGACGTCTCGAAGTCCTCAAGCTCGACAGCAACGACCTCGAGCGGATCCCCGAGAGTGTCGGCGAGCTCCGAAGCCTTCGCGAGCTCGACGTGAGCAATAACCGTCTCTGCGAGCTCCCAGAGAGCCTCCAGTTCGTCCAGTCTATCGAGTGCCTTCGCGCGAGCAGCAACAGCCTCGTCAAGCTCCCCGACGTCTCCGGCCTCCAGCTCCTCCGCGACCTCCAGCTAAGAGGGAACGCGCTTTTCGAGCTCCCCGATGACCTCCCGGACCTCATCTCCCTCACACGCCTTGACGTTCACAACAATGCGATCCACAAGCTCCCGCCGCGTCTCGGCAACTTGGTCAAGCTCCGCGTCCTCAACATCTCCAGCAACCGTATCGTGACCTTCCCCGACAGCGCAAGTGGCCTTCTCAATTGCGAAGTGTTCTTGCTCCGCGAGAATGAGCTCACGCTCTTGGGCCCCTGGATCGGCGGCTGGAAGCGCGCCGCCTTCGTCGATGCCACAGAGAACCGCATCGAGAGCGTCGATCGCGCCGTTGGGAGCCTCCGCAACCTCATCGAGCTCCGGCTTAGCCGAAACCGCATAGAGCAGCTCCCGCCAGAGATAGGCCTCGCGCGCGCGCTCGAGTGCTTCGACGCGTCGGCATGCCTGCTCTGCCGCCTCCCCGTCGAGCTTGGCGCCCTCGCCGTCCTCCACACCCTGCGCCTCCGGCGAAACGCCATATCTGGCCACCTTCCTGAGCAGATTGGGCTCCTCCGCAGCGTCACAGACCTCGACCTCTCCAGGAACACCATTGAATCGCTCCCCGACACCATCGGTGGCCTCGAGGAGCTCGTCAAGCTCGACCTAAGTCACAACCGCCTCAGCACCCTCCCCGAGGCCGTCGTCCAGTGCGCGCGACTTCACGAGCTCTACCTCAGTTCGAACCGCATCAAGAAGCTCCCGCTCCACCTCGGCGAGTGCGTATCCCTCCGCGTCCTCGACCTCCAGTCGAACGTCATCGCCGAGATCCCAGCGAACCTCGCCTGCCTGGTCAACCTGAAGAAGATCTACCTTGGCAAGAATCTCCTCCGCGCGCTCCCGCTTGACGTCGTCAACCTCTGCGAGACTGTCGACGAGCTTCACCTCGATCGCAACCCCTTCGGCGACCTCCCTCCTAGGTGGGCCAAGTTTATCGGCAAGTCTGCCCACGAGCGCTCTCTTTGGCCTAGCGGCTACGACGACGCCATGGCCATCGCTTGGGTCAAGGACCACGCGGCCTTTTACGACGCCGCCGTCGCCGAGTGGGACGCGACGGGACCGCTCCACGTCTCGGGCCGCTCCAACCTGGCCGCCTACGAAGTTGCTGTTCAGAAGCGCTGTGGGCCGAGCTGGATGCCCCATCTCCTCCCCCTCGTTCGCGCCTACTACTTCAAGACGCGCCGCACGGGCAACTGCCCAAAGTTCAACCGCCTCGCGGATGCCGAGGTCGAGAGCCGCGCCAGGACCAAGCGCCGCGCCGACGCCATTCGAGACGTCCGTCACGGGGACGCCCTCGAAGCCGCCGCCGAGTATGAAGACATCCTCAATGAGCTCTACTATGGCGATCTGCTCCACCGCGCCGACAGGGCTGTTGCCAACGCCGATATACGTGACGACAGGGAGGTCCTCCAGGAGGCCAACCGTGAAGCGGGCCTCCTCGCCGACGTAGGAAAGCGCGAGACGCGCCAGAAGGCACGCACCCTCGGTCTAGAAGCCGAACGAAGAAGAGAGGAGCGCCTCGAGCTCGAGGAACTCCACGAGCACCTCTGGGAGACTTACGGACGCCCCGCAGACGGCGAGCACTTCTTCCCCCCGATACACCCGCTGCTCGGCCGGTGAGCACGCTGAGATTTTACAGTGGTATGACCTCCGAGTCATACACTTGTAAGGTGGGTTTGCTCTCAGCTCCGTCCAGACTGGCGTAATGTTCGATAGTTCCGACTCTACCAAAGGAACCCAACTCTAGGTCAGGGGGAAATACACGGTGAGCGGCCTAGACGATCCTCAGCAAGAGCATAGCACAGGGCGTGGCTAGTGGCACAGCCAAGCCGCAGCCGGTCGAAATGTTCAATTTGACTATTATGAGTGAGGTACTTTTTGGGGTCTGGTCCCCGGGGGAGTTTGATTGTTACTTACCCCGGGGCCCGGCCCTTACATGCAAATACCATTAAACACGCAGTGGCGAACTTGGCCGATATGCTCCTTCACATGGCTTTTCTAATCAAGAAAGACAAATCCAAATCCAACTCGCATCCCCCCCCCTTCCCCTCTCTCTATTCCATGTTAAGACAGTATAGAGCAAACCTCTCCTGTTGGGTACGGTCCAGTACTCTACTCTACTACTTGCGCGACGCGACGCAATCCTGGGGAGTGACATCCCGCGGGGAATGTGTCGTCGACAGGCTTCCGATCCTCGCTGCAGCGGGGGTTGTCTCTTGACTCGGTTCCTGCGTCGAGCTACGGGCTGGTGAAGACGACTTTTTCGTCCATAGCCGCGGACGTGTCACAGCATCAATACCGACGTAAACTTAGTGATACAATTTGTTGGAAAGCCAATCTGAAATCGTCTATTGTAATCAGTTACAATATGATGACTGGCTAAGGTAACACACTGGGCTTCCCCTGTCTCACCCACTACGCCCATCCTGCTTCTACGGACGGCGTGGAGCTCGTTCTTGGGCCGGACCAAGGGCTATATCACCTGCGCAAAACCCCGACGATCGTCTGCATGACTAGCCCAGAGGTGTCTCGCAGTATCTGTCAAGGGTGTGTCTTTGCGACCGAGGGCGTCGTGATACATATTCTATCGTTCATCTCACCCTACTGCGGCTGCTGCGCGACCATGACCCAAAGCTCATCACCGGTGACTGTTCCGAGATTCCCCTGCCTAGGGTTGAACTGCCGATTGTTCAGCGGTGAGACTGAAAGCTATGCGTCGTCGACAGGCAAGGAAGCGCTGTTTAAACGGACGAGTGCGCATGAGTTGCAACTGTGCGCAGCCATCGAAACGGCAAGAGGGTTGTTCCGCTTCCTCCCAAACGATGTGCAGCCATTCAAGGAGATGGCACTCGTGAACACCGCGGTTGAATGCGTCGGAATCAACTGCCCCAAGATCATCGACTGGTTGCGGAAATTGCTGGAGCTACGAGCGCTATCATTTGAGGCCTCTCTGGATCCTGCGGTTGCACTCAGGCATCTCACACCGTGTGTCTCAAAAGTGCCTTTGAATCAGTACCCATATGTTCATCAGGAGGTGGAGATACTGAAAGAAGACATCAAGGCAGCTCTTGCGAAAGGGTGTGTGCTTGCTAAGCTTAATTCTGATGCGCGAAGGCGAGCTGAGCTGGGCCCGAGGCTATACAGGGACTTCGTCGAGATTGTCGCCACCCCACCGTCCCCTGATGCCGCTGCGCAATTGAATTGCCCACGTATCGACTCTACATTGTGTGATGAACTTACCTGCATGGTGCATCTGCGTGACGCTCTCTCGTGCAAGGATTGGAGGTCTGCTGACTTCATGCTTTATCGTACCAAGGCAGTGCCACTGACCACGATCTCGAAGCTGACCAAGCACGAGATCGAAGAGGCGCAGGATATGCTTCTGGACTATGCAGCCAAGCAGGCCATGTGCTCTGCTCTCGTTCACGAAACCACGACCGGGGGGGTATATTGGGGCTCGATAAGCCCACAGAACTAGTGTAGTCGCCTCGCCGGTTGGCCGCTGAACCACTGGCACTCACTCGAAATCCGGGGGTGCAGCGTAAACCCGGGTTTCTGAGCCCCAGGACCAAGGATGCTACTATGATGCTTTCGTTGCATTTCTCACACTCAAGGGAAGATAGTGACGCCGGAAACTGAGTGCCTCTTGATATTTCGAGATTGCCCGGGTATTCTCTACTAGGATACTAAACGTAGAGAGAGATACCCCAAACTAGGGTAACAAGGAACGTTGATGTCAACGTTACGGGGGAGTGCAGTGTCACCCCCATAGTGTGACGTCGCGAACCACAGAAGACGGGGGGGCAGTGCGATTCAAGCACGACTTTGGAACAGGTGGCTCTGAGCTTTTGTCCGAAGCCCTTCATTATTTTTGTTGCAGAGATATTTTTGAACGAGTGGCTCTGGGGCGTCGCCCCATGTCCGAAAATGCATCAAAAGTGCTGCAACAAAAATCGGGTGGCCAGGAAACTTTGCCCCGACGTCTCTCGGACAGTAAGATCTTCTTTGAATGATGTTGCCCTCCCGTATAAAACTCTCTAAAATTTAATGATGACGGCCTATCGAAACCGGCCCTGTTCTTATGGTTTCCGCTCTCTCTTCCAGTCTTCTACCGAACAAGCGCTTATCGGCAACTGAACATCAAGCGTGTGGTCGCGGTTTCGAATCCTGCAGAATAGTGCGCTCGGGCTGATGCGAACCAGTTGGCGCAATGGACAGCGTACCAGACTTCGATCCTCGATCTGTCGACGGTAGCCATCTGGGGGTTGCGGGTTCGAGTCCCGTACTGGTTAAATTTTTTTTTGCGAGTAAATTTTTTTTTGCGAGTCACTACGTAGACCTCGGGGAATAGACGCGCTTCGGCTCATCAGGCTCTGGCACATCTTGCAGTGATTGTGCATGGCTGCGATGTGGAGCGAGGTCAAGCAGTTTTTTCCGCGATTGTCGACTCGTGGTCTCCAGTGGTCTCCAGGCACCATGCCAGAAGGGCCGTGTGAAAGCCCTCACCGCCATATATTTCCCCCTCCTCCCTCGGTACTAAGCATATCGGGAAGAATTGATGGTCTTAGTTAGGGTATGTACAGTGCCAAAAACAAACCCTTGAAACGAAAGGCCTGGGGGTTTGTATCTTGAAGTTCAACACAAAAAGTTGCCAAGCTCAACATACAAGTTGAAGTTAGGGGGTCGTAAACCGCGTGAAAGTGGGGTCATTTCGCCGAGACTGGCGTTGTGAGTGCGGTACCTTCGTACATTTTGAGACACTCGGGCGTGAGGATCGTTTTTCGCGAAAAGTTGACTTTCAGCCCGCGCTAGACCCGCGTGCGCGCGCGCGCGGCAAATTCTCAGGAGGTGTAGTACACGTCCCGCCCGCCGCCGGCGGGAAACAATAAATAATTATAGCGCACGCTGCGCCTTCCCTGTAATTCGCAACTCGTAGAGTAAGAATTTGGGAAGCGTAGCGGAGCAGAAGTTTCCACTAATAGCACGGTGGTGTGTTCTGCGTCCGGGAGTTTAGGAAAAAACATAGCGTCTTGCCATCGAAACCAAAATCGACGCGGTCTGGACCGACGCTTCAATTGGGGTATTCCTCAGGTCAATAATATTCTATGTACGCTAACTCGACGCTGGTGCCGCGCGCCGCGCGTGGGACCCCCCCTGGGGGCTTTCGAAACGAATCGAAACACCGTTTTCGCGCGTCAGCGCGCGCGTCTCGGCCAGAAGATTGGTTCGTAGGGTGTACCAAATCCATGCGGACCCGGGCGCGGCGGGTCTGCGCCGTCGGGCGACGTGAGTCGCGCGCGATCGCGGCCGAGTTCGTCTCGGTTAAACGACCGAAGCCGGCGCGCCGCGCGCGCGGACAGACGAACGAAACTCGTAGCCTCAACGATCGTTCGTCGAGTGCGAGCGGCTACGATGATGTGTGGCGTTCGTTCCGGGCTCTGCGGGGCGAGCTAGGCGGTGCCCGCGGGGCTCGACACCCGCGCCTTCGTGCGCGGCCGTCAGCGGTCTTCAAACCGCAGGCGGTGTGGCGCCGCAGCGCACGCACGACGTCAAACAACACGCACGATGTGACCACGTACATCAAGTCTAACAGCACGTCCGTGCACGCACGGGACGACGTCGCCTCAAGCTCACCGCGGCGCATCGCAACCGTCACTTTTGCCCTCACGATTCACGTCGAACGTCAACTTCGACGACACGGTCGACGCCGTTGCCTGGTTTTGCGAGGGGGCGCGCGACCGAGGCGCGGCAAAGGCCTCCCTGGCCCAGTCCCCGCACCTCCGCCCAATATGGCATATTTTCCCGCATCTCATTGCTCTCCATAGCCCTCCTCCCCGTAAAACGAGACGGACAGTTATTGCGTGCGCGAAGCTTTAGCTGTGGTTATCATTATTTATTTA